TCCCTCAGCTTTTTTTTAATTATCATTATAAAAATGTAGATAACCCCCTTCCCCCAGTTTGGTAATTTGACTCACAGAACTCAGGAAAGTGCTATACTTATGATTATAGTTTTATTATAGCAAAAGGTACTAATCAGAACCAGCCAAAGGGAGATGTGCATAGAGCAAGAGTTGGAAAGGTCTCAAATGTAGTTGCCATTGTCCTCAGAGACTTGCCACCTTCCTGATACATCACTATGTGGCAATATGCAAAATACTCTCAACCAGGTAGTTCACCCAAATCTTGGTATCCAGAGTTCTTACTGAGGCTTTATTGTGTGGGCATCATTGATTGAATCATTGGCCATATGGTTGAACTCAATCTCTAGCCCCCTTCCTCTCCTCGGTGGTCGGGTTGATACCCTGTGGGTCAAAACTCCAAACCTCTAATCATATAGTTACTCTTTGTGGAGTGACCAGCCCCCACCTTACATCATTCACTAGCATGAAATATCAGATGTGGTCAGAGGGGCTCATTGTGAATAACAAAAATACACTAGTCACTTGGGAAATTCAAAGAGTTTAGAGGCTACCTCCCAGGAGAGAAGGACAGTCAAATTCTTTATCCGTCATGTTTTTTTTTTTATGTGCTTAACATTTGGACGATCTAGTGTGATGGTAGGGATAGAAGGCTTTTAACTCAATTTCTTAATACATCCCAATATTATTATCAGTGTTGCAATCTTACCAGCAATGCTAGTGTTACACTACATCACAGTGTGGTAGATGTAACCTAAAAAATAAAAGTCAAAAGATACTGGCACATTACTCGGGTTCTATTCACTCATCAGCAATTAGTACATCACATCATATGACTAAAATGTCTCCCAGAGTGACACCACTCAGGTTTACAGTCTTCCATTCAATCTTGTCAGATTCTAAAAGCATGAGTGGTCTTAGCACAATATAGCGTCACTCTTTTAGGCATCTGGTAAGATTGAGCTAAAAAAACCAAACCAAGGTCACTGCCATCGAGTCGGACCCATCTCATAACAACCCATCCTTGGGTTTCTGAGGCAGTATTACTCTGGAAGTAGATTGCCCAATCTTCCTTCTGAGGAGTGGCTGGTGGGTTTGCACCGCCAGCCTTCTGGTTAGCAGTCAAATACCTTAGGCGCTATGCCACCAGAGCTCCCTAATTGAGCTAAGGAACAATGTCATCTCTTGCTCTGAGTCTCTTTTGATGTGCTTATTTATATTGGATTTCCCTCATTGCACAACTTATTTATTCATTACTTAACCCACATCTACTATTCCTCTTTCTCCCTATTTATACCCAAACTTTTCCACCTTTGGAAGGCACCTTAGGTTCAGCCACTGTGCTGATCTAGATTGCCAACTGTGGTACTAGGTAAGCAAGTGCCTCCCCCCAGTCTACTCTCATTCATATAGGTTAGGGTCACATAGGAACAGAACTAGTGGGCCACCTTGACCATTAGGCAATATAGCTGCATTCAATGTTAGCCCTAATTCTGTCAGATGTGGTGAACGCATAGTCCATCCCATCAGGCCCTAAGGAATTCTGACATAAAGGTTTACAGTATAGTTAATTTCTACTCCTGGGACCATGGCATCAAGTAGGAAAAGGTAAGTTGAGGTGATGTGGATAAAAGATTAAAAATATAGATGTACCACCATCTTCCCCAATGGGAAAAATTGCATAGTCATATCAGCATCCTTCCACACCCCATCTTCTACAGGTCCCCCACAAAAGCAGCAGAATATGTCCAGTGGGAATGCTCCCTTGAACCCCTTCATGTCTGTGAGCACAAGACTGTTCCACTTCTCTATTAAACCATCACCCTGAGGATAAAAGTGTGTTTCTTGGTTTGAAGAAATGTGACTTAGTGATTCAAATTGGTACAGTATCTTCTGTTCTGGTTCTTTTACAGTACTCTCAGCATTGAGTACTATAAATGCATTGGGTACTCTAAGTACGACTGTGAGGATGGCACAGGACTGGGCAGTGTTTCATTCTATTGTACATTGGGTCACTGTGAGTCAGAACAGACTCTACAGGTACCTACCAACACCCATTTGCAGGTGATTGCAGTTCAGGTTTCTTCATTTCCTCCAAACCAGGAGGAATAAAGCAAATTCAGGGTGTTGGCAGGTCCATGCTTTCTCTTTTTCTTAAAACTTCCAGTAGCCCCACAAGCCTTGGCTTGTGACAACATAACTCCAATCTCTGCCCTTGTCTTCACATGACTGTCTGCCATCTGTGTCTGCCTGTGTGTCTTCTCATCTTTTTATAAGGGCACCAGACATGTTGAATTAGGGCTCATCCTACTCTAGTACAACCTTGTGTTAGCTAATTACATCTGCAATACACCATATTTCCAAATAAGGTCTCATTCATAGGTACCACCACTTGTCTGTCAGTTAAGAAACTGTGGTGGCTTCCATGTTGCTGTGAGGCTGGAGGCTATGCCACCAGTATTTCAAATACCAGCAGGGACACCCACGGTGGACAGGTTTCAGCAGAGCTTCCAGACTAAGGCAGACTCAGAAGAAGGAAGGGGCCATCCACTTCTCGAAGAATTGGCCAGTGAAAATCTTATGAAGAGCAGTGAAACACTGCCTGATATATTACTGGGAAACTTTATGAATAGTCCTGAATCATTGTCCGATATAGTGCTGGAAGATGAGCCCCTCAAGTCAGAAGGCACTCAAAATATGACTGAGGAAGAGCTGCCTCCTCAGAGTAGAGTCGACTTTAATGATGCCGATGGAATAAGCTTTTGAGACCTTCATTTGCTGATGTGGCACAACTCAAACTGAGAAGAAACAGCTGCAAATATCCATTAATAATTGGAATATGGAATGCATGAAGGATGAATCTGGGAAAACTGGAAGTTGTCAAAAAGGAAAAGGAATGCATGAAGATCAATATCCTAGGCATTAGTGAGCTGAAATGGACTGGTTCTGGCCATTATGAATCAAACAACCATATGATCTACTATGCTGGAAATGACAAATTGAAGAAGAATGGTGTGACATTCATCATCACAAAGAATGTTTCAAGATCTATCCTGAAGTACAATGCTGTCAGTGATAGGATAATATTCAAATGCTTATAAGGAAGAGCAGTTAATACAACTATTATTCAAATTTATGCACCAAGCACCAAAGCCAAAGATGAAGAAATCGAAGATTTTTACCAACTTCTGCAGTCTGAAACTGACTGAACATCCAATCAAGATGTGTTGATTATTACTGGTGACTGGAATGCAAAAGTTGGAAACAAAGAAGAATCACCAGTAGTTGCACACTATGGCCTTGGTGATAGAAATAATGCTGGAGATCATATGATAGAATTTTACAAGACCAATGACTAATTCATTGCAAATACCTTTTTTCCAACAACATAAATGGTGGCTATACACACGGACTTCACCAGATGGAGTACACAGGAATCAGATAGACTACATCTGTGGAAAGAGGCAATGGAGCAGCTCAATATCTTCAGCCAAAACAAGGTCAGGAGCTGACTGTGCAACAGACCATCAACTGGTCATATGCAAGTTCAAGTTGAAACCGAAGACAACTGAAACAAGTTCATGAGAGCCAAAATATGACCTTGATTATATCCCTCCTGAATTTAGAGACCATCTAAAGAACATATTTGATGCATTGGACACCAATGACCAAAAACCAGAGCAATTATGGGATGACATCAAGAACATCATCCATGAAGAAAGCAAAAGGTCATTAAAGAGACAGGAAAGGAAGAAAAGACCAAAATAGATGTCAGAAGAGACTCTGAAACTTGCCCTTGAATGAAGAATTGCTAAAATAAATGGAAGAAATGACAAGATAAAAGAGCTAAACAGAAGATTTCAAAGAGCAACTCAAGAAGACAGCGTCAATTATTATAATGAAATGTGCAAAGACCTGGGGTTAGAAAACCAAAAGGGAAGAACATGCTCACCATTTCTCAAGCTGAAAGAACTGAAGAAAAATTTCAAGCCTCGAGTTGCAGTATTGAAGGATTCTATGGGCAAAATATTGAATGATGCAGGGAACATGAAAAGAAGATGGAAGGAATACACCGAGTCACTGTACCAAAAAGAATTGGTAAATGTTCATCCATTTCAGGAGGTGGCATATGATCAAGGACCAATGGTATTGAGAGAAGAGATCGAAGCTGCGCTGAGGGAACTGGAGAGGAAAAAGGCTCCAGGAATTGATGGAATACCCATTGAGATGTTTCAACAAACACATGCCACATTGAAGGTACTCATTCGTCTATGCCAAGAAATTTGGAAGACAGCTATCTGGCCAACTGACTGGAAGAGATGCACATCTGTACTCATTCCAAAGAAAGGTGATCCCACAGAATGTGGAATGCTCCTTGGAAGCGAGAATGGCCAGACTTTGTCTCACTTACTTTGGTCATGTTGTCAGAAGGGACCATTCCCTGGTAAAGTGGAGGGTCAGTGAAAAAGAGGAAGGCCCTCACGAGATGGATTGACTCAGTGGCTGCAATGATGGGTTCAGGTACGGCAAGGATTATGAGGCTGGCACAGGACAGGGCAGTGTTTCATTCTGTTGTACATAAGGTCGCTATGAGTCAGACCCAACTTGACAGCACCTAACAAAAACAACAGCAACGGGGTTAGGGCTTCAACATACCTTTTTTTGGGGAACACAATTCAACCCATAACAGTCTTTCTTCTGTTTCCTAAAAATTCTTGTCCTTCTCAGGTGCAAAATATATTCACCTTATTGCAATATCCCCAAGTCTTACTGTATTCCAATATTAACTCTAAATTCAAAAACATCATGTAAAAATATCATGTAAAGGTAATCAACTCAAAAAGTCTCAAATCCCATATTCTAAATAATTTAAATCAGGTGTGGGTGAGACTCTGGGCATGGCCTCTCCCTTGAGGCAAGATTTCTCTACATCTGTGGACCTGTGAAATGCGGAAAACAAGTTGTCTGCTTCCAAAAATACAATGGCGGGTAAGGCATAGGCTAGACATTCGCATTGCAAAAGGGAGAAATTTGAAGGAAAAACATGTTCATAGGTCCCAAGCAAGTCTGAAGCCCAGGAGGGCAAATCTCATTATATTTCAAGGCCTGAGAAAAGTCCTTTATGACCTGATCTACGCTTTGAGCTTAAGAAGGTAGTGGGCCCTATCCCCTGGAATCCAGAAGGTGGTGGCCCCGCCCCTAGAATTGAGCCAGCAGAAGCCCTGCCTTCCAGATTAGAGGAGGTGGTGGTGCTGACCTCTGGAACTGAGCAGGCAATGGTACTGCCCTCTATAGCCTAGGAGACCTTGACTCCTGTCCCTCTGTAACCAAGGAAACTGTAAGATCACCCCCTGCAATGAATCCCTTGCACCTGGCCCTCAAGAAAGGAGGAAGTGATGGGCTTCACCCTCTGGAACAGCAGAGGCAGTGACTTTGCCCCCTAAAACTAGGAGGCAATGGCCTCTCCCTCTGGAAGACGGGAGTTGGCACTGCCCGCTGACACTGAAGGGGTGGAGATTCCATCTCCGAAATCCGGGAAGTAGAAACCCCGCCCCTAGAAGGGAATAAGGGCGGAAGTGGATCCCCAACGTCGGAACTGAGGCAGCAGTCCCACCCTCTGGAACTGAGGGGACAGTGGCCCCACCTTCTGGCGATGGCTCTGCCCCTTTTGAACCAAGGAGGTGGCTCCACCCACTGGTATCTATGAGGCCCCCAAGGAAGAGAAGTCTCCAATACTGGAACTGAGGAAACAGATGTCCCACCCCCAGAACTGAAGAGGTGAAGGCCCCATTCCCGGAACCAGAACCGAAGAAACGGAAGCCCGGCCCCCTGAAGGTGAGGAGGCTGTTTTCTGACACATGGAACTGAGAAGGAGCCCTGGTGGCACAGGGGTTAAGCACTCTTCTGGTAACAAGAAGGTTGGTGGTTCAAACTTACAAGCTACTCTGTGGGAGAAAGATATGGAAACATTCATTTCCATATTACATGGAACCTCTGCCTAGGCCAGGGGTTTTAGCTCTTAGTATCATAAACTCTTGGAAGTGAATGTTCCGGAACATTGAAGAACTTTGTGGACCAGGTCCTGGTCTAGCAGATCTAGCATAGCTGCTTCCATAAAGGTCACGGTCTTAAAAAAAAAAAAACAAAAACACTATGAGGCATTTCTGCTCTGTTCTGTAAGGGAGCTGTGAGGCAGAATGCACTGGAACTGAGGAGGTGACCCAGCTCCCAGGATGTGAGGATGCTGCATGTCCCCTCCCCCAAGAGCTTGAATGGAGAAGGAGATGGCCCTACCCTCTGGATTTTAGGAAGCAGAGGCGGGTCTCTGGAATGAAGAAGGCATCCCTGCCTCTGGAATCTGCCATAGTTTGAGCCTCCCTCATCTAGATCACTTCAGTAGCATCCTCAGTGGCCTCCCACCTTCCTTCCTTGCTCTGCTACAGTCTGTTTTCAATACAGCAGCCCAGTAATCCTTTATTATATATATCAGATCATGTCACTCCTTTACTCAAAACTCGCCAATAACTTCCCATCATAATTAGACTACAGTCTAAACTCTTTGGGCCCCATTTCCTACCATGCTTCCCCTCCCTCTGTTCTCTCCAGACACACTGGCTTCTTTGCTATCTCTTGAACCTGCCAGACATATCTGACTCAAGGCCTTTGTACATGGTGTTGCCCATGTTTGGATCACTCTTACCCCACATCTTCGTTAAGGTGGGGCAGAAATATTCAGCTCTTCTTATCCTTCAAAACTAATCTAAATGTCACTATTTCTCAGAAAGCACCCCCTTAGCCACCCTTTGTCCTCATCCCTTCCCCCCTTTATTTAGCCCATCAGCCTGTTAATTTCATTCAGACCACTTTTCACAATCTGTCCTTCCTTCCTTTCTTATTTCTTTCCTTCCTTTTCCCTCTCTGGAATGCAAGCTAAGACCAGGGACCTTGTATGTCTTGTTCACCACTCTAGCAATGTGCTCTATCATTGACACATAGTCAGTGCTCAGTGACCTTCCTTGTTGAGTAAATGAATTACTCTGACTTTATGAGTGAGAACATCCATTTTGTTGGTGAGATGTGGGTGGCCCTTGAACCCAAGATCTAAAAGCCCAATCCATTACCTATGCAGAGGTAATCTTTTGCTTCCTGTTCCAAGAACTCTTGGCAGGTAACATGTGTCAGGCATGAAGGATGTGTTGGATAGAAAACTCTGTGACTGGTCACAGAGTGATGAGGCTCATAGTTAGGTGCTTCTAACTGGGAGGCCAGTTAGGATGCTATTGAAGTGATCTACAAAATGAGGGAGGTGCAAACAGTGCAAGCCTGGTTAATCTGAGGATTAGCCTTGTTAATATGAGGACCACTTGGTGGCAGATAGTAGCTCTGGTTCTCTGTGGTTGTCCACATTATGGCCCTGGTGATATGGCTAACGTAGCTCCCCAGTACCAGGCATCTAGCTATCGTATCTACACAGACAGTCACGGATCTGCTAGACCAGGACCTGGTCCACAAAGTTCTTCAATGTTCCGGAACATTCACTTGCAAGAATTTATGATACTAAGAGCTAAAATCCCTTGCTTAGGCAGAGGTCCCATGTAATATGGAAATGAATGTTTCTCCCCCACCTTTATGAGAGGGTGGTGACATTTCTCAGCTGCAGCAGGTATGTGTACCCTTGGCAAAATGTTCACCCTTAGAATGGCCAGATTCTCCACAGTATAAACCTATGAAGTTTTACATAGGCACCGATGCTCTGTCAGGCTGCCTGGATGAGAAATATTGGGTAAAAGAGAGCTAAGGAGGTCACCTAATGGTGGAAAAGGTGTGACCAGGCCAAGCCCACAATGCCTGACCATTGACACATCTTATTTATCCACTCCTCCCAAGATGGTACAGAGCAGGTCACCTGGAATCTTAGCCCCCCAACCTTTGAAAACGTTTAACATTTCATTTAACATTAAAAGGCTGTTGAGCTTAACATTTCAAGGAGACACTTTGCCAGGAGAGAGCAGGGAAACCAGTACAGGAAATATTTGATGATTCCGTAACACTGTCTTTCGTAGAAGATAAAGGGATTGTGGTGGGGAAAAAAACTAAAACATTCAGATTGATGTCTGTCTCTTAGACTTCTAAACCTTTACTTACTGATTAAAAAAAATAATAACAGCTTTATTGTGATATAATTAAAATGACACACAATTTACCCATTGAAAGTATACAATTCAATGGCTTTCAGTATATTTACACAGTTGCACTCAGTGATTTTTAAAATGAACCTCTTCATTACTTTTGGCATGTGATAGGGAGAGGGAACTCTCTTCTGATCATTTGCCAAAAGTCCCCTAAAACAATCATGGTCACAGGGGACATTAAGCTCAATTGGTATAACATACTACACAAAAACATTGTTCCACATCCTACTTTGGCGAGTAGCGACTGGGATCTTAAAAGCTTGCAACTGGCCATCTAGATGCAATGATGGGTCTCTCCTGGTCCAGAGCAAAGAAGAATGAAGAAAACCAAAGATGCATGGAAACAATTAGTCCAAGGGACTGGTACACCATGCGATCCTCAGCTGATAGGACTATGAGACCAGAAGAACTAGATGGTGCCTGGCTAATACTGTCAACCACTTGAAGGGGGATCTCTATAGGAACAAAACTCAACATCATTATAAACAAAAAAAAGGGACCAGGTTTGCTGGTCTAATGGAACCTGGTGAAACTTTGACACTATGGCTCCTAGCTGCCTTTCAGGCTTGGAATTGAAAAAAAAAAGAGTGCTTGTCTCTGGAATTGAACCCACTCCTGTGGCTTCCAGCCAAACAAAAGACAGGCATATGAGGTTCACATTAGGTAGATTCAATCTTGGAGAGATCAGTCATGGGAGAATAGAAGGGCTGTGTATGCACAGGGAGACAGCTCAGGGGGCACGAGTGCATGGGATGGGAAGGACGCAGGGAAGAGGTAACTATGGGGAGGAAGTGGGAGGGGAGCTGTTGCATTGTGGGAAATTTAGTCAATGTCATGAGACAAAGTGTATGTGAACTGCTGTATGGAAAATGAATTTGCTCTGTAAACTTTCAACCAAATCACAATAAAAATTTAAAAAATAAAAAAGGCCCCTAAAACAGAGCAAGGCACAAGTTCATTTTGTGGTTCAGGTCATGCTACACAAAATGCTTCACCCCATCCCTGATATCTTTGCACAAGGGACAGCCCTCCACCTGCCCACCCACCACCCTCCCACTCAGTTCCCTAATACAGGGCACAACCATTTATTCAATAATTCAGTAAACAGCTCTAAAGGACCTGCTATGTGCTGATCATTACGCCAGGCACTGGACATTGGCAGCAGGGGACCAGACTCTGGTTATGTCATTGTCTTAAAAAATCATAAACAATTTTGAGCGTTCTGGGGAAAAGTGGCATTGTTTAATGACCAGTGACTTCAATTCTGCTTAAAAATTGCTTAAACATGGCATCACCAGGAAAAGACGTAGGCTACCATAAGGAGCTTTGGAATTTAACAAAAGGCAAAATAAGTGTACTTACTGAGTAACCAGTGTGGCAAAAGCTTTATTCACCCCCAGATATGACCAGAAGAAGACCTGGAGGACCAGTTCTTGTTGCACCTGTCTGCTAGAGCGTTAAAAGGTGTTGCCTACCATTTCTGGGAAGTCATTTAAATAAGGTTTATAATGAATTTTTCCTAAGGTGGAAAGTACTTATGTTATAATGTGAAGTGAGAAAAGCAGGGTACCAAATTGTATACACAATATGATGTCAGCCACTTAGAAACAAGCAAAAAGTGTGCACAGAAGCGGGGAAAAAGCAGGAGGAAATATACCAACATGTTAATATCTTCTTTGGGCGGTGAGACTCTGTAGCTGACTTTTTACTTTCTACTACTTTCCACTTTTTCTTTAGAAAATGTGTATGGTACTACTTCTATAATGGAAAAAAAAAATCCACCTCTTTTTTTAAAGT